AATTGCTGGCGAGCCAAGCCACGCCAGGCCTGTGCTGTTTTCTAATCCCAGTGTAATTAATGACCTTATCTTTGGCCAAAGCCATTTAGATTAAGTGGCTGGTGTGATGGGCGCGGCGGCTCCGGCTGCACAGATGGAAGAGCTGCGTTTGTCTGGGGATTAGTGGAGGGCAGATGGAGAGAAGCTCCATTCCCATCCCCAGAGCTCCCGGCACCGACTGCAGCCTGAAACCCGAGAGCACAACAACTTTCTCAGGAGTCCCGGCCGGGCCTGGGCAGAGTTTCCCATTGTGTGCCCCTTCTGCAGGAGCCTCACGCTGCCACCCTCGCCAGGAGCTCCATGCCAGCCCCAGTCTCGAGTGCCCAGAGCAGCAGAGGTGCCACAGACAAAGATTCCCCCTCGGAGAGCAAATGATCACCAAGATGCTGGCCCTGGCTGTGAGGAAATAAAACCCCGTGTCCTCATTGGCAGGTCTCAACTCTCGAAATAAACCCTCGTGTCCTCATCGGCAGCTCTCACCTCTCCCAGGAGGAAAACTCACCAGCTTCTTGCTGGCAAGATCAGGATGTGCTTCCACCTTCCTCCAGCATCCCAGCCACGGTGTGAACAAGACACTGTGACAGAGGCTCCTTCTCCTGGGACACCTGGGAGCTGCCACCCCCAAACCAAGGCACTGCAGCGGGTGGCACGGAGCAGGGGAAGGTCAGGGAGACCCTGCTCAAGGGGGTTCTGTCCACAAGCCTGTTCTGAGTGGGCTCGTGGACAGAACAGGCAGACTGGCAGCTCCTGTGGTAGAGGAATAACATTTATCTGTGGGGATAACAAAGTTCATATTAAACCGATTAAGGATATTAAACCCACTTCCAACAGCATGGTCATCTGACTGCACTCAGGAGATGGGGCAGATAATCCCCCCCCTCACTCCCAGAGCCACCCGAGGACCCCAGCCTGGCCTGGGGACATGACTCAACATGTCCATGCTGTCCATCAGGATCCCAGGCTCAGCAAATCGGGGGCCTTACCTGCACCCCATCCACCCAGGCTAGGAGAACACGGTTCCACACCACAACCCCACGGCCGTGTGCTCCAGCACTGGGCTCAGCCTGTCTCCACACACACTGCCACAGAACCACAGGCTGGTTTGGGTGGAAGGGACCTCTCAAGGTCATCTGGTCCAACCCCCTGCAGGGAGCAGGGACATCTGCAGCTAGAGCAGGTTGCTCAGAGCCCCGGCCAACCTCCCCTGGAATGGTTCCAGGGATGGGGCAGCGACCACCTCTCTGGGCAGCCTGGGCCAGGGGCTCACCACCCTCACTGGAAACAATCTCTTCCTTCTCTCTCATCTAAATCTCCCTCTTGGAGTTTCAAACCATCACCCCTTGTCCTGTCCCAACAGGCCCTGCTCAAAAGTCTGTCCCCAGCTTTCTCACAGGCCCCTTTAAGTCTTGAAAGGCCACAATAAGGTCTCCCCAGAGCTTCCTCTCTGAAGATTTGAGCCAGCATGGATGGTAAACAAGCTGGGGCTGGAGAAAAGGTTCAGCTGGTGCTGCACAGACCCAGCAACACAAACACAGTGCCCAGCATTTGAAAGCTGATGCCCAGCTCTGCCCAATGCTACCGAAGCCAACCCAAATTCCCAGCTCTTCCCCCTGCATTCCCTTCAGTCGAAGCTCCCAAGCCACCCCACCCCACCCCCAAACAGCCCCAGGCAACTACCCCACAGAGCATTACAGAAATAATTTGATGCTGGAGGGACACAAACTGGAGGTTTACCCTAATCCCCCCCCTTCCAGCAGGCACCTCCAGATCTGCCCACGCAGGCTGAGCCCTGGGAGATGGCTCTGGCCACATGGTGCATCGTGAGCAGCTGAAGGGGAAAGAAAACCCTCTGCTTTCCCACCCTAAATCCTCCCAGGAGGGACCATCTTGACTGCATCTGCCAGGAGAATCCCAAAGGCCCTGGCAAAAGCTCTCCTGTTCCCTGCTGGAGTCTTCCAGGACCCAGGTGCCCCGGGGCCACAGCACAGGGAATGTGCTGCTCAGCAACTCAGAGTCAAATGTGGGGCTGGTTCCCACTGCCAAGCCACGGTGTAAACCCCCGGGAATCCAGCTCTGACTAGGAGAGACTCATCTGCTGCAGACTTGATGAGATCATTTCCAAGTTCCTGTTTAACAGGTGCCAGCTCCTTCTGCACCTGCCATGTGCACAGGGATCAGGCTGCCTCCACCAAGCTTGGGAACATCTGCTCGGCTCCCTCAGAAGCTGCAGAGAAGGTGACTGGAAGAAGGAACCAGGCCTGGAGATCCTGCCCTGTGGCCAGAGCAGGGAACCTGAGCCAGGTGGAAACAGAGAGCAAGAAAACTGCACTTAACAGGGATGAGAACCCACAGTAATCTTGCAAATTTATTTCCATATAAAAGAAAAATATATATATATATCTCCTCTCCACAATAAAGGCTGTAAGAGCTCACTCAGCTCCAGAGCTGCACTCCTGGCCAGGCTGGAGGAGCACAGGGTATTTCTGCCTTTGAGAACACAGGTTCACATGCCAGCAGGATGGGCTCAACCACTCCAAGGGTAACTCTGGGTCTCTGGCAGGAACGAAGGCTGCTCCTTGAAGCCTTGCCCTGGGGCACAGCCCTTTCCAGGCAGGGCTGGGCAGCATGGGAACAGAGCAGGATGAGGCCACATGAAGAAGATCTGATGCAGCCTTTGGCCATCACCTACACACCTGCCTCAACCCCAAAAAAGGACTCGGCTCGTTCAGTTCAAGGCCACCCAGGACTAAGACTCTCCCGTGGCCGTCCAGGGGGAATCCTGGCTGCTCCCCTTCACCAGCTGATTCACAGGCCTAGGGCACAGGCAAGCTGCTGTCCTCTCCTGAGGTCTCCACAGCACGGCTGGCAGCCTGCAGCTTCCTTCTCTTCTTCAGATGGTGCAGGTGGGATTTGGATCGTGTGTGAGCTGCAGGAAGAGCCAAGCAGAGCGTTTAATTCTGGGGAGCTTGGAGAAGGCAACGCCCAACCCCATCCCCCATGCAGTGCACAGCACCCTGGCCCTTCCCAGCCTCCCACACAGGTCATTCCCACAGAAAAGAGAACTCCCAAGCCCTGCCCTGGCCATTTTTCAGGACATTTTTAGGCCAAGCTATCAGGGCTCAGAGATGGACAACCCTTCCAATCCTTCTCCTGACCACAGGAAAGACTGGGAGAGGGGAAAATCCTGGCTTGGCTGCCACAGGAGCTGGGTTCCTGTTTGAAATCACATCATTCAGGGCAGCAGAACCTCCCCTATCAGTGGTTTTATCTAAGCACAAGGTGCTTTATCTAACCAGACCAATACAGGATCTTAGCAGGGTGGTTTGGCTCTTTCCAAGACATCAGAGCAGCAATTAACGCCGCCAACTTTTCAAGCAGGGCCTTAATTAAACAAGGGTATATGCTCCCTGAATCAAGGCCCTCGGGTGTTCTCCAAACAGCCTTTTCTGCCAAAAGGATGAAATCACACCAAAAGCTGCTGCTTTAGCACAGTGCTGTAGGGTCACCCTCAGCTGGAAATAAACCCTCACCTCTTCATTTGTCACAAGCAACACCAAAGCTCACAGTGGCTGGAAGAAGAGCAGGTTGCTGCTGCTGTCTTGGGGGGGATGAGCTCTTTTAAAGCCATACAAATTGCAAAATTAGTTAAAAATCATCTTGCAAAGCCAGTGGGATGCTGGGAAGCTGCTCCCAGAACTATCTGTAACTTAAGGAAACAGAGCAGATTGCAGGTCGACTCAGCTCCCACTGCTGCTTCCACTTCCCTTTCAGCTGGCACATCTTGCAGCTACAAGTAACACCCAGGTTTTGGACCATTTTTCTCCCACCAGCTGGAGATCTGAGCCAAATTCAGCTGGATGCAGAGAGCAGCAGCTGGTCTTGGCTGAGAAAGGTGTTGCCATCATCTACCAGAATTTGGGATGACAGCCCTTGAGAACACACAGTTGCAGCTGTAGCGTTTGGGGAGTTCCTGAGGAGTCCAGGTCTTGGTGGACCTGGAAGGATGGCAGAGACCCTGGGAGCCTTCACACTGCTGTAGTTTCTGGAGGAGGCAGAGCTCCTTCAAAGCATCCCCAAGCTGAGACTGGCTAAAATAACACACTTACAAACTGCTCTCACTACAATGAGCTCCCTACTCTGAGCCAGCTTCCATCTTTGCCTTCACTTTGGCTCACCAGGAGCAAGTGACTTGTTCAAATCCAACGACCAAGGACCTGGGAGGTTTATCTTTGCATTGTGTCTGCACACACTGCACTGGGGCAACACAAGGAGCTTTATCAGCTGCATTTCTGCAGCCAGTTTCTCCACTACTTTTTGTTTCTGGTTCTCAGCGTGAGCCTCACAGCACAGATAAATTCACTGACTTAATCTGATTCCAGCTGAGCTCTTTTAAAGTAAGTCTATTGAAAATAGAAAATCCCTTTCTATTACCATTGCAGCTAGGAGTAGTTAAAAAAACAACCAAAACACACAAATAGCAGATGCTGAAGCAAAACTGAGCTCTTAAAGACATGAAGAAACTTCCATTTTATGCAACAAAAATTGTAGAAGGAACGAGTTTGTTCTGTGCTCTTTGACCAAGCCTCTGAAGTGCCCAAGAGGCTGAGCAGTGGTGATGGAACTCAGGCAGCTCGCTGTGACACAGAGTCCCCAGGTCTGGTGTGACACAGAGCCCTGGGGAAGGGGGGGAAGCCCAACAGATGGCTGCTGTGGCCCAGCTCCTGCTCCCCTCCAGGCCTCCAAATGTCTGCTCTCCTAGCTGGGCTGCAAACAGCCCTTGAAAGCCCAAGATCATGTGCCGAGAGTCACCCGGGCAAGCAGAGCCAGCCAAGGAAGCTGCTCAGCTCTGGAGAACTGCCCCACTCCATCCCCACCCAGGTCCCCTGCTGTGCCCCTGGCCAGGTCCTACCTGCCCACTCCCTGTCCCCAAGGATGACTCTGTCACAGAGCTCACACACGTGGTGGCTCCGTTTGTTCTCCTTCTCGTCGAACTCCATCCTCAGGGGCTCTGCTGGGGGCTCACGGCCCTGCAGGTTAAAGAAGGATGCACATTGGTTTCTGCCATGAAAGTTTGCTTGGCTGTGTTCACTTTGGTGGAGTCTGGGATGTGAACTTGCCATGCTATGGTTAGCAGGACAGATGCTGCAGAGACAAGGGGAGTTCTGGGCACTAGGAGAAATTTGCAGCTTAGACTACAACCCTCTGCCACCACGAGCAGAGGCCAAGGCTGGACATGCAAGCAGCCAACCCTGCTCCCAGGAGAGAGCAAGTGCCAAGTTACAGGGCCTGGAGACTCCTGAGGAGTTGGTTTCTCAGCCTCAGCTCACGTGTTAACTCCAGTACCTGGAGGAAGCTCTCCACAATCTCCAGAGCAGGTTTCAGCACATCCTCCTCCCACTGATCAGACACCTCCAGGCCATACACTGGGGGCACGTTGGGCCCGGGACCTGTGGGGACACAGAAAAGCTGGTCACTGTCAGAACCCTCCCAGCACCATGGCCCAGCACCCCAGGGTGCTGTGAGCAGTGAGGATCTGCTCTTTCCTATCTAGCAGCCCTTCAGCATTCAGAATCAAACAGCACCAGCCTTGCCAGAGCCAGAATTACCAAAGACCTCAGCTTGAGGGGCACCACCCTAGCAAAAAGCAACACCCAAGAACCCAAGTGAGCACCTTCATGGCTGCTGGGAGAGCATCAGGAAATCTGAGCAGGCCAACAACAAATGCTTCCTCCCAGCCATGGTCCACAGGAGGCCACACAGGATCAAAAAGCCAGATCCAGGCACGAAGCCATCACAGAAAGCTCACAAAGAGATGCAGGCGTGGAGTCTGGATGAGGAATCTGTGGGTGCAGGTTCCCATTCAGAGCTGTAATTGCTTGTAGGGGTGCAGGTGCCAAGGCTCCCAGGTCCCCACAGCAGCCCATGGCAGGAGGTGCTTTCCTAACACCTTGGACTGGCAAGGCACAGCTCCACGTGTGCTCCCAGCCCAGG